GGTTTGGTTTTGTGATTACAGAATGGTGACTATTAGATCAGGTAGAGTATCTGACTCTGTTCTTGGACAAGCTGAAGCCTGGGGTATTGTGCCTGGTTGTAATCCCAAGGGTTGAGGGATCTGGCCCTTGGTCTACAGAGTGTTAAGTGAGAGGATCCAGGGCGAAAACAAAAATTGAAGCCAGATAAACATACAATCCAACCAAGGATTCCAAACAAGACAGTAAGGCAGATGGGCAGAATCTGTGAATGATAAAGTAGGATAGAGATCTGAAATATAGGGCCAGAGCAAAATGGATGATGGAGAGTTGAAGATGGAACTTAGAGGAATTTACTGAGCCTCTTTTTAGTACACCTGCAGCTTTGGCAATCAGTGAAAAAGAGTTTTTAAGGGTGTCACACTGGCTCAGATACATAGGTTGAGCCTGGAAATTATTTCAGAATGTGAGCTGGTAAGGCACCTATTTCTTTCCTTTCAGAATCCAAAGGAGGAATGAATAGATGCTTGATTTTGTTTAAGAACATATGATTAAAAAAAACTTGACGTATTTCCAAATTATTATTTATTGAAAGTTTGTGTATAATTAATTGTACATTAGCCAGTCAAGTTTAAAGAATCGTTTTATCCTTCCCATAATATGCTTTTATGTAAAATTACCAGAATAATATAACATCTGAGACACAGTTGATAATGGATTATGACCATTAAGAAGATTAATTGACCAGGATAATCAAAAAGGACATTTTAAATTTAGGACAATAAAATCATATTTTAAAACTGGTGATTTTCGACTTCCAAAGAACTTATTTGGTATTTGAAGAAATGCAAGGTGTGACTCAAATACACTGACTGGCGTCCGGGTAATCCACCATATCCAGGAAATCGTTTACCTCTGTGTGCTCAGTGGAGTGGAGTGCATTATAGAGAGGTTACAAGTGTATTCAATTTGCATGTGTGAAAACTCCTTAGTAATTCCTGTGAACAGGCTATGTGAATTTAAAGAAGGAAATTAGAATTCGGATCATTTCTAAAGTGCAGCAAGAATGTGGTAGTATCCTTTCAGTGGAACCAGATCAGCTGAACCAAAATTAAAGTTTTCCACTGAATCAGGATGTTTGGCCATACTGTTTTTGGCCAAAATTACTGGTTTCCGTTAAGTGCATGTGCTAACGTTTTTTCAGTGATGCACTGTGTTTCGGTGTTAGCCTCAAGCATACGTGACCTTAGTGTTGTGATTTAGATGACATTATCCAGGGAATAAAATGAGACTGCTGAAAAGGTAGGAATACAAATAAGAATGTTTGACATTCTCTGTTCTAACTATGAAAACCATGGCACTCTAACTAAATCATGACCCAGCTAGACCATGAAAATTCACTTCCAGAAAAAAAGTAATAGTAGAAAATTCAACTATAGAGCTAAGTATTAGGTTATAAGTAAATCATATGAAATAACCATTTGGTATTCAACCATTGTTTACCAAGAGAAACTGTGATTTCGCATGGTACAACACAATATCACCACAACGATACTTCAGTGTATTGCATCAGTTATGCATTGATTCAATTCACATCACAACTACAAGTGTCTATATTGTGCCAGAATTTGTAGGAACATAGCAAATATAAGGAAAACCTCGTACAAACAAGTGGAGAATGAAGGGAACACAAAGTGGGAAAAGTGATTTCAAATAGAGGGATAAAAAAAAGTCCTCATGGAAGAGTTGAGAGTTGGACTGGCCTTGGGTTTTGATAAAGAGACATGAGAACAGGGCTGCAGATAAATTGGGCAAGGTCTACAAAGACAGGCATGTACTGTGATTATCTCTAGAACAGAGAGAGCTGTTGAATAAGTCTAAAAAGCAAGGTTCATAGGATGATTCAGGCCATGTTGCTGAGGATATGGAATAACATGATAATTAGTTTAGGTTTTATTTTGTAGGTTTTATTCTGTGATTCCAGCAACGGCGTTTGAGCAGGTACATGATTAAACATGATTAGAGCTGTATATTAAGAAATCACCCTGGTGATAGTATGAAGGATGGAAGGACGGAAATGACAATAGAGACAGAAAGATGACTCAGGAGGCTTTTGTAGCAAGATTGGGAAAGAATGAGGGCTTGACTTGGGTTAACTTGACCACAAAGCAGAAGTCAGATGTCATCAATATTACAGTGTTACAATCAATAGGATTTGGTGACTACTTGGATGTAGGGGATGGTGAGGGGCAGGGATGGTTCAAGATATGATTCAAGATGACACAGAGTAACTGCATAGGACCGTTAAACAAAATGAGGAAATGAGGAGAGTCAACGTGTTGGATAGGAATTTACAAGGCAATGGTGAGTTTTATTTAAAAAAAAAAAAAAACATTGAGTTTAAGGAGTCTAGGAAACATTTACCTGAAAATATCCACCCAACAGTTGGTGAGGTTTGATCTGGAGCCTAGATGAAGGACATGTGCTAGAGATGGAAGTACAGGAAGTGAATACAGAAAAGGAGAGATGAGTATGCTTGAGGGGAAGAGGCAAAGGAGAGTAATGGAATCAAAGTGGTGGTAGGGATGAATTTGGCTTAAAATTGTGAGGAGACATTTCTTTCACTAAAATACAAAAAGAAAATGAGGAAATGAGTGAATAGAGAGGACTTCGGAAGTGGAAGGAAAGGAACTTGAGGGAACTCACAGAAGATGGCTTTGATCTTTTTGGGTCTTCCTGTAAAATTTGAGGTGAGAGTAAGAGGAGGTAAGGAAGGATTAAAAACTTGGCATATGTGGAAAGTGTTCAGAAGAATCTTTACATGAAAGGCAGGCAGAGAGGCATGACTTCCAACATGTCATACTAAGGAAATGATAAGAAATGTTCAAATATCTGTATCTCGGAGATAGTTCAACTTAACGAACACTGCCTGTTTGTTAACTTAGGCACTATAGTTAAAGTCACTGTAACACAATGATGAAATTAAGATGAAATAAACATCAGTTCAAATGTAATTAATTTCATCTACATCTCAAGTGATTTCTTTGAGTGGTATTTCTCAAGTTTTCTACCTTAAAAACATTTTTTTCATGATGCCTGTTTTATTTCTCATTTTTTCCCATACATGATGTGATTTTTCCATCGATCTTTTCTTACGCTACTTAGGAGACAATTAAAAAAATAAATTCTGGGGCCTGCCCCAGGGCTGAGTGGTTAAGTTCATGTGCTCTGCTTTGGTGGCCCAGGATTTTGCCAGTTCACATCCCTGGCAGGGACATGGACATGGCACCGCCTGTGAGGCCATGCTGAAGTGGCATCCCACATAGCACAACCAGAAGGACCTGCCACTAGAATATACAACTATGTACTGGGGGGCTTTGGGGAGAAGAAGAAGAAGAAAAAAAACCAAAAAGAAGATTGGCAACAGATGTTAGCTCAGGTGCCAATCTTTAAAAAAACAAATAAATTCTTTCCTGATTTTAATCATTTAAAAAATTGACCAGACTTCACATTTCTTTTTCTTCCCAAAGCCCCCGAGTACATAGTTGTATATTCTAATTGTGAGTGCCTCTGGTTGTGCTATGTGAGATGCTGCTCTAGCATGGCCCAACGAGCCGTGCCACGTCTGTGCCCAGGATCCAAACTGGGGAAACCCTGAGCCACCGAAGAGCACTCGAACTCAACCACTGGGCCTGGGGTCGGCCCCTAGACTTCACATTTATAACAAAATCTTTATAATATTAATCTCCTCTTGATTACCACATTCCTCAAGAACCCAGTTTATTGATTTTAAGTTGTATGGATGGAAAAGGACATTAAAAAATGGTAATCTCATTTTTTGGTAGTAGATTGCTCTTCTACCCTTAAAAGATCTGTCACAGAATTTCTGAAGAGTCTGTTGAAATTACCCAGCTTACGGCATTAATTTTAACTAACGGAGCTTCAGAAATGAGTAGCATGTTTCTTACTCCCCTATCACTGATGCAGAGGAGGAATTTGTTAAGAATTTGACACTTTACTATGGGGCAATAGTCAACTTAACCTATGTTGCCATGGTTACTCTTGGTTGACTAGAAAAAAAATCCAGAAAACACAATTTGTGCCAACGAATAATATTATCTATCATGAACAGAATCAACACTTTCCTCTTGCTGCTTTTTTCTTTCTGAGTGAAATTCTTGCAGCTAGTAAGCATTAAATAAACAGTTATCGAATGGTGCAGACAGCTAAGAAAACCAATTCAGTGGGTTAAAGTGATACATTTACTCATAATAATAGATCTTTGAATCTTGAATAGACGCTTGAATCCGAGGAAGAATTCAGAGATCATTTAGTCTGAATCTTCTCATTTTACAGATGGGAAAAATGATGCACAGGGGTAGAAAGGGACCACTTAAGTTCACACAGACAGTAAGTGATCAGAATACGTAATCATGATTCTTTCTTATATAACAAAATGAGGGTGGGAGTTTATTTTATTTTTCAGAAAAGTTATGGAAATACGTGAAAAAGAAAGCTAAAATCTTCCTTATCAGTAATTTTACTGACCATCTCTGGGATAGATGACAGTGAGAGCTAGGAGCTCTGTGACGAAATTTGGAGAGAGACAAGGCAAGTCATATCTGAGCAACCGCAGATATTGGCCTACAATCAGTCTGATCGGCTTGGCTATCATACTGATGGAGATAGATTAAAGTTGTACATGCAATATAATATACTAAGATATAAGTCCCTTTGAGGCAGATACTGTGTCATCTATTCAATATAAATATGTGCATATGAATATGAATAAGACACTGTTCTTACTTTCAAGGAGCATTTTGTACACCCCACCACCTGAACATAGTAAGTTTCCTGGCTTACTGAATCACTTGCTGTTCCTCTGTCACATCTTCCCAAAAGATTGGTGTGGTTTGCAATTTGGTGGGACTGTGCATCAGGTTTGGATCTTGGTCTGCCTGTGGGAAATATGCCACTAATCACGTATTTTTATTGTATGTTAGAGCTTCCATAGTTGTCCTTTGTGTGGTAAGACAAGAGAGAATGTTAGCAACCCCCCGGATAAGGATGCAAGTGGTCCTAGTGGCCTTTTCAACACAATGATTTCAAGGCAGTCGTTTCGACAAAGTAGTTTGAAGGCAATGGTTTCACAAAGTAAATTCAGGAGGCAAAGCATTACATCTCTCTGAGTTTCAGTATCCCCATGGTGGATTGTGACGAAAACAGTAATTTTCAAAAGTTTTTAAAGGAGCAGACCCTTTTATTTTTTCAAACAAATTTTTATCTAAAAAAATCTCAGAGATATATATATATATAACTACATATACATATATATAACTACATATATATATATATATATGTAGTTATATAGTTATATAGAACAGATAAAAAGTAGAAATTCTCTGGATGATTCTGAAGTGGGGGACTTGGGATCTTACCAGCTAGGCTTATTCTCTCCTCCTCTCCATTTTGTCAATGAAGAATGAGAATTCCAGAGAAGTAAAAATGAATTTGCCCTAAAATTCCTTGTTAATGAGTGATACAACCAAGACTGGATTCTAGATCTCTTTCTCCTCTACCATGTTGCCTCAAGAGTATTGCATTTACTAGGGATCCATGCTGTTGCAGACTCATTGGAAGGTATGAAAGAAGCTAAAGATACAAAGTCTTCCTTGGAGGAGTTTACAATCATAGCACAGAGATGAAACAAAACTGTTTATTCAAGGAATGTTGGCTGAACGTTTGCTACTTTTGATGCAGTAGAAATGTAAAGGCTAATAACACCGTAGGCCCTTAAGAAGTTCACAGGACTAATGGGGAGTGTGATAGGCTGAACAATGGCTCCCAAAGATATCCAGGTTCTAGTCCCTGGAACCTGTGAATGCTACTTTATATAGTAACAGGAGCTTTGCAGATGTGATTAAGTTAAGGAGTTTGAGATGGGGAGATTATCCTGGATTATTCAGATGGGCCCTAAACATAATTGCAAGTGCCCTTATGAGAGGGAGGCAGATGCAGATTCTACTAAAGAAGAGAGAAGACGATGTGACAACTTCAGCAAAGAGAGAGATTTGAAGTTGCTAGGCTTTGAACATGAAGGAAGGGGTCAGGAGCCAACGAATACAAGGAATTCAAAATCCCTCTAGAAGCTGGAAAAGGAAAGGAAATGAGTTTTCCCCTAGAGCCTCCAGAGGGAGCTTGGCCCTGCTGACATCTTGGTTTCAGTCCAGGGAAACTGATTTTAGACTTCTGGCCTCCAGAACTTACAGTTCAGAGAATACATCTGTGTTGTTTTAAGCCTTCCAGTTTGGGGTAATTTCTTATAGAAGCAACAGGAAATGATTACAAGGAGACACCCACGTATCCAGATAGTAGAGTGAAGTGTGAGTGCTCACCTTGTCAGCACATATGCTAGACCTGAAATGATAAAGAGAAGAGGAGCATTCAACAGAAACATGAAGTGTTTCATAGTAGGGAAAGGCTAACAGTTCAATAATTTGTTCTAGAAAATTGGCTACCATATGAAAATTAAGCAAGCATAGACTTCTATTTCACATTACATGCAAAAATCAGTTCTAGGTGGCTTAAAAGTCTAATGTGAAAAGTAAAATTTTATTAATTTTCTAGAAGAAAATTCAGGAAAATATCTTTATAACTTCACAGTAGAGAAACAGTTCTTTAATAAGACAAAGAAAACATACACTGTAAAAAGAACAACTTGATAAGTAGAACCACTGTACTTTAAAAAAAATTTAATACAAGAATAATTTTTACATAAAAAGACACACCACACATTGGGAGAAAATATTTGCAAGCACTTAGCCGAAAAAAGGATTAGTACCCAGAATATGCAAACGACTCCTACAAATCAATAAGGAAAAGGTCACTCCAATAGAAATGATAAAAATATGATTCTAGCTCATAATGTGGTGACCCCACAGAGAGGGGGCTGAAGAAACGAAAATTCTGCCCTCCATTCAATTTCTTTCTGATGCTCCCCGTGTGAAACCAAATAGAAGTCACAGACAAGGGAACCCTTTGCTGTCCGGCATGTAGTTCAACCTCCTGGAGCACATAGTAGGCTAGGAAAGAATGAAGTGTGGATCTGGAGCGGTACAAGACCCATTAGATTTTAAAAGATTAAAATACTTTTAAACATGCTAAGTGTTGGAGAGTGTGTAGACCAAGGGCAGATCCCACACAATTATGATGGGAGTGTAGTTTCCTAGAACTACTTAAAGAGCAATTTGGCAATATTTATTAAAGTTTAGCTCATACATAATATATGACTCAACAATTTCACTTCTATGTCTATGCTTTACAGAAAAATATATACACTTGCAGCAAAAGACAAGTATAAAAAAGTTCATAGCATAATTACCTTAAAATATTTCTTGAAAAAATAATCCATGAATTAGAAGAACTGATGACTCCATTGTAGTATCTCAAGGCTGGGGATTGTGGTGTACTCAAGGATACAACATGGCGGAATCTTACAAACAATATTGAGTAAAAGTGTACATAACAGAAGGATACTTCCAGTATAATTCCATATGAGGTTTTTTAAAACATACCAAATCATACTACATGATGTGTAGTACGATATCTATGTGTAGTTATGTGATATAGAATTACGTGGAATAATGGACATCAGTTCAGAATAGCAGCTACCTCTGAAGGCTAAGGGGTGGGGGGTGCCTACTAGGCTTCAATAGATTGATGATGTCACTATTTCCTAACCTGGTGGTGAGTAAATAAGTGATCAAAATATTATTTTATTCCATTTTATGTTGGATATATTTCATAATGCTCTTTCAAACCTGAAGTGTGACATGTGCTAGAAAAGAGGTATTCCCAGGGGCCTCTGGGAACACAGAGGAAGGGCTCATAACCTAGACCTAGTGGAGGAGGTCAGTGAAGGATTGCTAGAGAAGCGAGCATTAACCAAATGGGTTAAGCCATCATAAAATCTCTGGGAGTTCGGTGTAGGAAGAAATCAGTGTGGTACGGATACATCATTTAGAAACTAGACTTGAAACAGTCCTTAAAGAATGGGGAGAGCAGTAGTTAGAAATAAGGTAGCTTAGTCAGAGAGAGGGGGCAAAGGCATATTTCTAGAGAGAGCTGGACGATGTTTCCATTCAAGAAAGAAGGCTTAGGGGCCAGACATGTGGCACGCAGTGGTTAAGTTCAGCATGCCCTGCTTTGGTGGCCCAGGTTCATGGGTTTGGGTTTGGATCCTGGGCATGACCTACATCACTCTTCAGCCATGCTGTGGCAGCGGCAACCCACGTATAAAGTGGAGGAGGATTGGCACAGATGTTAACTCAGGGCTAATCTTCCTCAAGCCAAATAAAAGAGGAGGAAGACTGGCAACAGATGTTAGCTCAGGGAGAATCTTCCTCAGCAAAAAAAAGAAAGAAAGAAAGAAAGAAGGAAAGAAAAATAGAAACAAGGCCTAGCCAACAGGGTTTTAAGTTTTACTCATTTAGAAGCTAGAATTTCACCCAGGAAAATTTAACTCGATCAATAAAGAACAGCTGAAGGTATGGGAAATTTGTTTGGTTACAGTATGGCTTTCATTCTTTATATGTATATCATGCTCTGCTGCTTACAAAGCTTGTGAACCCTCACAGCCCTGAGAGCTGGAAGGGCAGGCAGCATTTTCTCCATTTACAGGGGACAAGTCAAAGTCTTATTGAGGTACAATGACTTGCCCAAGGTTGCATGACTAAGAAGTGATGGGGTCAGGCCTAGAACCATTTCTTCCAATTACAAGTTCAAAATTTATTCTACTACGCTCTGCCTATTCCACACTTTCACAGCTGAGGTTAGATCAACATTTAGAACACATTCTCTTACATAAGCACAAATCAACTGAAGAGCTCTTTAGCATATTTGAATAGAATGAGAGGGCTAACAGACAAATTGTTAATAATTTATTTCTACAAGGCATTGATTTATTGCAGTGGGGTGAACTGCCCAATCTCTTGGGAAGGGTGGGTTGGTAAGTAATTGGGATATTCCAATAAGTATAACCTTTCTCAAAGTAAACAACCTGATTAAAAGTGTAGTCCTCTAGTAACAAATGGTTCAGGACTTATATTTTTTTTTTCTATTAGACCAGAAATTCTATAAATCAAATCAATGAAATAAAGCTGATGAGTTCTGTTAATAGAGTCATCATGACAATTGTCCTTTGGCCTCTAGGCTATAGAATTTTTTAATGCAGCCTGGAAAAACTGATAGAAACGTGTCATCAACATTTCTTTTTTTCTACCATCAGCAGATCAGTGAGCATATCTAAGAGCCCACAGAGGGGACAAAGCATGATCTCAGTGCAGTTGTAGATGACCAACTGGGTTAAAAAGATTAATTTTGTTGGATTTTATACTCAGAGCGAGCCACATAGTACAAATGGAGTCAGTACATTGAAGGAGAAATGGCACTGAAACATATCAATTTACCTTTGGAAACCCACTCTGACTCTCAGTTTTTGCTTGCTATTATAGAGGCAAACAAAGGCATGATATAATTTTTCTGCTTTCAGGAAGTTTAGAGTTACATTCGGAAACTATAAAACATTGAGACAGTAAATTATGAAGTATCGACTGCAAGCACTGTTTGGAAGACACTAATTACAATGCGTAGCAGATAGTGATTACTCAATAAAAATAGGTGGAGTGGCATCTTGGGAAATTTTGTGCCAGTGGTTGATTTCTTTCTAAAATATTTTAGGAATATGGTGAAACAACTGTGTTTCTTGGATGGTTGGAGTTCCATACTATGTGAAAGGCAGGAAAGTGACGAATGGCTCCTGGACTGATGATTCAATCAACCAAGGAGGTTGCTTCCAAAGGCATTGATTTGCAAAGATGCAATTTAGTTTAAAATTGCATATACCTTGAACTGAGAATAAACAGATAAAAATGGTTTGTTCAAAAAATTTCAAAACAATATTTTGTAACTTGCATTATTCCCCAAGGAACAAAGAGATGATACTTTATTCATTCTCTCAATACATGCCAAAAATATAAAGCATTTAACCATGATTTTAAATACAACTGGACATAATTTATAATTAGGACAAGATCTAAGAAAAATCTCATAAGAAAAAATAATGAAACTAGTGTTTAGGGCTAAGAAAA